AAAAATCTAAATATTGAGAAAATCTCCTTTAAAGTTGTCCAAACTAAGTCCTTAGTAATGCATATTACTAATCAAGAATTAAGTTTTGATGTAGTTACAGTAGGAAATTTATAAAATATCTTTATTTTAACAAGAACATGATCTTTACTTAATATCCTAATGGTTTTTGGCATTAAAGAAAAATTTATCATTTTGACACATTCAATGTATTGTTGGCTGTTGCTACAAATATACCCGTCTTACTTAAGACTGGTTTTGTGGTCCAAGGTCACAAATGTGTGTGGGTAGTTGACAGATAGCATTGTTTGGTCTCCATGCATAAATTGAACCTGTTGTGTTTGTGATTTACAGTTACAGTCTCAGTGGTGGGGACGGTCAGTTCTCTATCAACCCATCCACAGGCCTGATCATCACCAGCTCCTTGCTGGATCGAGAGGCACGGGCGAGTTACCAGCTGCTGGTGGTGGCAACGGACGGTGGACAGCCCACTCCACTCTCCAGCTCTGCCACAGTGTCTGTGGTTGTGGCCGACATCAATGATAACCCTCCACGGTTTCACCATCATCCATATGTCACACACATACCTGCTTCTACTTCCACAGGTGTGTCCTCTATGGCAGGGGTTCATGGTTTCATTGGGTTTTGGTCTGTCTGATTAGTGTCTAATCACTTCTGTTCTGTTTTTTGCAGGCTCACTGGTCTTTGCAGTCACAGTAACAGATGAAGACTTTGGCTCAAATGCTCAACTTCACTATTCGCTCACTGGACGCAATTCAGAAAAGTTCAGGATAGACCCCATCAGAGGTGCCATCACTGCCAATGAAAAACTCACAGGGAGTTCAGAGGTCACCTTCACGGTCCACGTAAAAGATGGAGGCACCAACCCCAAAACAGACAGCACAACTGTTACGGTTCGCTTCGTTACTGGAGGAGACTTCCCCCATATTAGAATCAAGGAGAAAGCCTTCACCTTCCCAGAAAACCAACCCACAAACACTGTTGTGACTAAGGTGACCGGATCTTCACCCAGGGCGGGTCCTTTGTCGTACTACATTGCAAGCGGAAACCTGGACAATGCATTCCACATAGATCAACTTTCAGGAGAGCTGTCTATCAAAAAGCCTCTGGACTATGAGAATATTGAGAAGTACGTCTTGTGGATAGAGGCTCGAGACCAAGGCTTTCCCCCTTATTCAGCCTATGAGAAAGTAGAGATCGCAGTTCTGGACGTTAACGACAACCATCCTAATTTTGAGCAAGAGCCGTTTCACGCTGAGATTTTAGAAAACCTCTCACCTCAACGTGTGCTGATAGTATCAGCATTTGACCAGGACAGTGGACCAAACGGGCAACTGGAATATGCCATAATTGAAGGCAACAAAGAAAACAGCTTCAGCATCAACAGGGCAACTGGTGAAATCCGCACAACACGACCATTGGATCGAGAGAAGGTCGCACAGTATGCTTTGAGAGTAAAGGCAACAGATAGAGGCAGCCCTCCTAAAAACACGGCAGTGAAGGTCTTGATCAGCGTGTTGGATGTTAATGATAATGCTCCCAGATTCTCCAAAATCTTCAGTGCCACTGTACCTGAAAATGCACCAGTGGGCTTCACTGTTACTCGAGTAACCACCACCGATGAAGACTCAGGAGCTAATGCTATAAGCCGATACTCCATCAGCGACGCAAGTCTTCCCTTCATTATCCACCCCAGCACAGGAGATATCACCATCAGTAGGCCTCTGAACAGAGAGGACACGGACCACTATATTGCCAAAGTCTCAGCACACGATTCAGGATGGACTGTTAGCACAGATGTCACAATATTTGTGACAGATGTGAATGATAACGCTCCGAGATTTAGCAAGCCATCATATTACCTGGACTATCCTGAGCTGACAGAGGTCGGATCCATTGTGACTCAAGTCTCTGCCACAGATCCTGACGAGGGTTTCAATGGTAAAATATTTTACTTTATCCGATCTCAAACAGAGTACTTCCGAATCAACTCCAGCTCTGGTGAGATCTTCGTTAAACAGCAGCTCAGGTATCAAAACTCCAGTGGCCACAGTAATGTCAATGTGAACCGTCATAGTTTCATCGTCACCACTTCAGACCGAGGCATCAAGCCGCTCATGAGCGAAACCACAGTTATCATAAATGTAGTTGACAGCAATGATAACCCACCCACATTTGAATCTTCCTTTTACTTTACCCCTGTCACTAAAAGTGTAAAGGTCGGCACCAGACTCCTCAAAGTCACAGCTCATGATCATAAGGACTTTGACTTGAACTCTGAAATAGAGTATGCGGTATCTGGAGGCAACAGTTCCAGCAAGTTCCGCTTGGATAAACAAACTGGATCGGTCACAGTAGCGTCCTCGCTCACCACAGACACAAATAAAGTGTACCTGCTTGAAATAACAGCAAGTGACAAAGGGAACCCTCCTCTGTCCGCTAAGACAACAGTCAAAATAGCTGTTACAGAAGAGAACCATCATACTCCAGAGTTTTCACAGAACCAAGTAACAGTCACCGTGTCTGAAGGTCTGACTGTCGGCACAGCCATCCGCACACTTTCAGCACGAGATAAGGACAAGGACAAACAAATGAACGGCCTGGTTATTTACAATATCTCCTCAGGTAATGACGGTGGCTTGTTTTCAATTCACAGTCAAACGGGCATTTTATCCCTAGCAAAGCCGCTGGATTATGAGACAAAGCAGAAGCATGAACTCAGAGTTTCTGCAACAGATGGAGGGTGGATTGCCAAGATAAGCTATGTTACAGTTAATGTCCTAGTTACTGATGTAAATGATAACTCTCCAGTATTCGACCCTGTTGAGTACTTCCCAGTCGTGCAGGAAAATGTCCCCAGTGGCACCACTGTGGTAAAAATGAATGCAACTGATAAAGACTCTGGGCCAAATGCCATGATGGCGTACGTCATTCAGTCATCAGACAGTGACTTGTTCATAATTGATCCCAACACAGGAATCATCACCACACAAGGTTTCCTAGACTATGAAGCTAAACAGGTGTATCACCTGACCATCAAAGCCTTTAACGTTCCAGATGAAGAACGGTGCAGCTTCGCATATGTTAATATTCAGCTGAAAGGTGCTAATGAATACGTCCCTCGTTTTGTGTCAAAGCAGTACTACTTTGAGGTTTCAGAGGCAGCACCTAAAGGCACAGTCATTGGGGAGGTGTTTGCAAGTGACAGAGACTTGGGAGAAGATGGCATAGTGTATTATTTGATTTTTGGAAGAAGCAGAAAAAGGGGTTTTAGCATTAATAAAAAGACAGGCCAGATCTATGTCTCAGGACCGCTTGACCGTGAAAAAGAAGAAAAGATTTCTCTTAAAGTCTTAGCTAAGAATGCAGGAAGCATAAGAGGGGCAGATATTGATGAGGTGCTTGTGAACATTACGATTCTGGATGCCAACGATCCTCCTGTATTCACCCAGGAGCTCTATGATGTTCAGGTGAATGAGGGACTATCCCCTGGAGGCCTGGTTACATTCGTCAGTGCTGAGGATTCGGATTCTGTCCCTAGCTGGAGCAGATTCACCTATGCCATTGCTGCCAACTATGAAAAAAGTACCTTCACCATCAACCCTCAGACAGGACAGGTGTCTGTGGCTTCAGAACTGGACCGAGAAACTGTCCCTGTGTACAACCTCACCGTCCTGGCAGTCGACTCGGGTTCTCCAGCTGCCACTGGCAGTGCCATTTTAATTGTGACCCTGGAGGATATTAACGATAATGGACCAACTTTGGAGACTACAAGTGGGGAGGTGATGGAGAACCGGAGGGCAGGAACATCCGTGATGAAGCTCAGTTCAAGTGATCCAGATCTTGCACCAAATCAAGGACCGTTCTCCTATAACCTCGTCAGCACTGGAGCAGCATCCAGCTACTTCACCCTCAGTCCAACTGGAGAGCTGACCACCAGCCGGGAGATAGACCGAGAGCAGATAAGTGATTTCTACCTCTCTGTGATTATCAAAGACTCTGGTATTCCTCAGATGTCCTCGACAGGAACTGTCCACATCAAAGTCAATGATCAGAATGATAATCCCTCAGAGTCTCGCACCGCAGAGATCTACGTGCATTATTTTGGAAATATGTTCCCTGGAGGATCACTGGGGGTGGTAAAGCCACAGGATCCAGATATACAAGACACATTCCACTGTTTTCTTGTTCCACCAGCGACTGTCCTCTTCAGCATTCCCACAGGAACCTGTGACCTCCGCTCAAACAGTCGCTCCACAGATGGCACATTTGATTTATCGGTGCGTAGCAGCGATGGCGTCCACGATGCTGTCAACAGCCATGTCCGTGTTTTCTTTATTGGATTCAATAATGCCACAGTGGACAACAGCATCCTGATACGAGTCGTCTCCCAAAGCGCCAGCAACTTCCTTACCAATCACTACCTCAGTTTCCTGCGCATCGCCAATTCACAGCTAGCTGGTTTGGGCACTGGAGTCCAGATCTATGGGGTGTTTGAACTAAACAACAGCACTTTCCTGATGGCAGCTGTCAAGCGGGGTCATGGGCAGTACGTCAATCCGAGTGGAGTTGCCACTTTCTTCCAGAGCATCAAGGAGATTCTGCACAGACAAAGTGGAGTTAAGATTGACTCTGTGGACTATGATCCCTGCTTCCACAATCCGTGTCAAAATGGGGGGAGCTGCAAGAGGCGGCTGGGTGTTGGCCCAGACATGAAGACGGAGGAGAGTGTCCCAGTCATCCTCGTCTCAAATCGCCCCCTACAGCCGTACGCTTGTAACTGCAGGCCAGGTTATGCCGGTGCCCTCTGCGAGACTGACATCGATGAGTGCCAGCCGACACCTTGCCACAATGGAGGAACTTGCCACAACTTGGTGGGCGGATTCTCTTGCTCCTGTCCAGAAGGTTTCACTGGGATGGCTTGTGAGAGGGACATCAACGAGTGCCTTTCGAACCCCTGCCAGAATGGGGCACTATGCCAGAATTACCCCGGGGGCTTTAACTGCCTGTGCAAATCTGGATTTGCAGGTACAGTCTGCCATCTATTTGCTTTTTACCAGTAACACAACCACAGATGTTAGGCAAGGCACATACATGCAGCTTGCACACAAGTTTGTTATCGTTTTAGGCCAAGAAAAATATTTGCTTCTAAGTAATTGGAGGGGTGTTGTAACCCAAGCATACAGTGGCCATTGCCAAAAGCAGTTTGTTGTTAGGGTCACAGACTGGGAGGTATCAGCTGTGATGCAGATCAACTTGTCATGTTTACTGTAATGAAAGTAGATGATCAGATTTGCACCCTAATAAGGACACGGCCGTAAACCACCTTCAGATTTCACCTGTGCTGTGCAGTTACACTGCTTGCATACTCTAAAGAGGTCTTTGAGTTTAAGGACCATCTGGCTTTGTTGGGTCCATTTTAAGACAGTTTAAGTCATAGAAAAAAATATATATTAGAGTGTGGGTTAACCAAACTCTAATACATAATTTTTTCTATGACTTAAACTGTATTAAAATGCAGAGATCATTTGTAAAGCTAGCTAGCTCAAGCAATTTCAGAGTTTTTAAAATCTGTAATGATGACATAATTACAGTGACTGTAAAATCAGTTGGTGTATGTGAGTATGGATCTGTCTGTGATGTTTGCCTTTGAATAAGCATGTGTGACAGCCTTAGCTTGAATCGGCTCTGTTTGGGCAGGTGTTGGCTGTAGCTTTTGGACATTGTTTTCAACATGGAGCTGTAAGAGACATTTGGTTTCAGGCTCTGAGTCATTACGATTTCTTTTTTTATTCTGATCATAACAAATGACTGCAGTGTGTTCACATCGGAGGCCCCAGATAAATGGGGCTGCTAGAGAATTACACCTATTGACTTACAGTAGTGTGCATGCACTCCAGCTGAACCCCACACTTCCTGTTTTGCTAGTAGTGATGGAGTTTTCGTTCTTCGTGCCATTTGTCTTAGAGAGCTACATACAAGGAGCAGAAAAGGAAAGAACTCAAATTAAGTTTATGCTTGATCATTTGTATGTCTAAGTCATTCTGTTTTTGTCATAGTCTTCAGCATATATGTGTGTTTTATATCAGCACTTCTTTTATGGGTCTCCCAGAACCAGTGCAGCTGATGTAGACTTTCACCTTCTCTTTCTTAGAAACGTGGGTCCGTTTACAAGGTGTAAGACTTCGAGCTGTTTGTATTAGAAAGATAAAGTGCACCAGAGATGTGAGAGAGAAAGAAAACACAGGGGATTCTGGGAGCCCCATGTGAGAACAGTCATTTTTGTGTGTCATGCTCACCTCATTGTTTTCATTGGTGTTTTTTCATGAATCAACTGGAGAGCTGACCACCAGCCGGGAGATAGACCGAGAGCAGATAAGTGATTTCTACCTCTCTGTGATTATCAAAGACTCTGGTATTCCTCAGATGTCCTCAACAGGAACTGTCCACATCAAAATCAATGATCAGAATGATAATCCCTCAGAGTCTCGCTCCGTAGAGGTCTACGTGCATTATTTTGGAAATATGTTCCCTGGAGGATCACTGGGGGTGGTAAAGCCACAGGATCCAGATATACAAGACACGTTCCACTGTTCTCTGACTCCATCAACGGCTGTCCTCTTCAACATTCCCACAGGAACCTGTGACCTCCGCTCAAACAGTCGCTCCACAGATGGCACATTTGATTTATCGGTGCGTAGCAGCGATGGCGTCCACGATGCTGTCAACAGCCATGTCCGTGTTTTCTTTATTGGATTCAATAATGCCACAGTGGACAACAGCATCCTGATACGAGTCGTCTCCCAAAGCGCCAGCAACTTCCTTACCAATCACTACCTCAGTTTCCTGCGCATCGCTAATTCACAGCTAGCTGGTTTGGGCACTGGAGTCCAGATCTATGGGGTGTTTGAACTAAACAACAGCACTTTCCTTATGGCAGCTGTCAAACGTGGTCATGGGCAGTACGTCAATCCAAGTGGAGTCGCCACTTTCTTCCAGAGCATCAAGGAGATTCTGCACAGACAAAGTGGAGTTAAGATTGACTCTGTGGACTAT